ATGATCATCACAGACGCTTTAAGATGGAAATAAGACAAGTGGAATCAAGGAAAGTAACAGCACGGGTAGAATGTTGACTGACAGAGTAAACAATGTTGTCTGGGCCAGGATTAGTGCATGTCAAGCATCACTACTGAGCCCAATTTTTATAATCAATGCTAATACTATTCTAATTCCATTTTCCAACACTTGATCCATAGCCTTGTATGCCTTGGCATCGCAAATGCACATCTGACTACTTCTTAAATGTTGTGGGTTTCAGCTCCTACCATTCTTACAGGCATTGCATTCTAGATTCCCATCAATCTCTGAGTGAAAAGAAATCTTCTCACATCCCCCCTAAACCTCCTGCTCCTTACCTTAAATCTGTGACCCTGGTCATTGATCTCTCCACCAAAGGGAAAAGTTTCTTGCTGTCTACATCTCTCAATTTTATACATCACAATCATGACTCTCTCAGTCCCTTTCAAAGGAAAGCAACCCCAGCCTAACCAATCACTCTTCATAACTGAAACCCTCCAGTCCAGACAACATCCTGGTACATCTCCTCTGCACCATTTCCAGTGCAGACATATCCCTCATGAAATGTGGGTTCCAAAACTGCACAGATATCCTCACTGTGTGAGAACAGCACATCAGTGTAAGATGCAAGGCTGAAGCACTACAGCCATAAATGCCAAGAGGATGACTTATTCCCTATCGTGAAGTTTCTGTCATCACAGCTGACTGTTTGTTTCTTTTTGTATATGCGGAAGTGTCATCACACACAACCAAATATGGTCTTTGAGAACATTCAGGCAACAGTACTGAAGACTTGTGCTCCAGAACTAGCTATGTGCCCCTAGCAAAGCTGTTCTAGTATACCTATGACTGGTATATGCCGGTGTTAATGCAGAGAATTGCTCAAGTATATTCTGTCTGCACAAAGCAGAACAAATTCAACATGGCCAATTACTCCTCCATCAGACTACTATTAATTATCTGCAAAGTGATGGAGAGATCCTTAATACTGATATCAAGCAGCATTTGCAAAGGAATAACCAGCTCACTGATGCTCGGTTCAGGTACTGCTAGGGCCATTTAGCACCTGACCTCATTACAGTCTTGGTCCTAACATGGACAAAAGATCTGGACGCCAGAGGTGAGGTGAGAGTGACTTTTACATCAGTGCAGGATTTAACTTAATATGACATGTAATATAAGCATTTAATATGACATCATGAAGATCTAGAAAAAGTGGAGTCAACAGGAATTGGCAGGGAACTCTCTGCGGGTTGGACTGATATCTAACACAAACGAATGGTTGTTGAAGGTCAAATATCTCACCTCAGGATTGCAGGAGTTCCTCATGCCCAAGCATCTTCAGCTGCTTCAATGACCTTCCCTATATCAGAAGGTCAGAGATGGGATGTTGCTGATGATTGCACAATGTTCAGCACCATTAACAACTCTTGAGATACTGAAGCATTGTGTGTCCATATGCAGCAAAACCCGAAAAGCACCCAGGCTTGTGCTGATAAATGGCAAGTAGCATGCGCACCATACAAGTGCCAGTTAATAACTACCTCCAACAAGCGAGAATTTAGATGATGTCCCTCGACATTGAATGGCATTACCATCGCTGAATCCTCCACTATCAATATCCTGGGGGCTACCATTGACTGGAAACTGAAAATGGGCCAGTCCATAATACTAAAGCTACAAACAGAAGGTTAGGAGTTAGGAATTCCGCAGCAAATAACTCACCTTCTGTCTACCGTCTACAAGGCACAAGCCAGGAGTAGGTCTAATAACATTTACAAAGCTCATCACCATCCAATACACAGCAGCCCATTTGATAGGCATCCCATTGTTCACTTTCAGCATTCACTCCCTTCATCACCAATGCTCAGTGACTGAAGTGTGTACCATCCAAAGGATGCACTGCAGTAACTCACTAACGTTTCTCTGATAGTACCATCCAAATCCAAGACCTTTGCCGCTTAGAAGGACAAGGACAACAGAAATCTGGCAACGCCAACACCTGCAAGTTCCACTCCATTCATTCACTGTTGCTGTCAAAATCATAGAACTGTTTTTCAGTCCTTAACACCTAAAGACTGCAGTGTTTAAAGGAGGCAGCTCACCATCCAGGCAATTGGGAGTGGGGAACAAATGCTAGCCTAGCCAGTGACACCCGTATCCCATTAACAGATTTTTTAAAAAACTGCTCAATTTCTCTTAAGACAAACTATTCATCTCTTGAATTAATCTAGAGACCCTTTTCTGAACTGTCTCCAATGCAGCAACAACCCACCTCAAGTAAGGGGACCAAAACTGCTCTCAATACTCCAGATGTAGTCTCTAATGCCTTAGAGTTGCAGCAATGCTTCCCTACTTTTATTCTATTTTCTTGTAGCGCTAAACGCCAAAATTTCATTTGTCTTCCTTATTATCTGCTGTAACAGCATACTAGTTTTCTTCAATTCGTGCAGGAGGACACACAGAAAACTCTGCACTAAAGCACTCTGAAGTTTCTCTACCTATAGATTGGAAGTTGCCTTTTTATTCTTCCATCCAAAATAGATAACCTCACACTTATCCACATTAAATTCCATCCACCACGCTTTGGCCCAAGAGCCTAACCTATCCATGTACAAATTGTGCGTCTTTTATTTCTTTCTTGTACTTACTTTCCCACCTATTTTAATGTCATCTGCAAATTTGGCTCTAATACCTTCCATCCCTGCATCCAAGTCATGAATATGAATTATAAATTGTAAATAGCTGGGGCCCAAGGGCCAAATCCTGTTGCAACCTCTGTGTTACATCTTGGCAATCAGACAAAATCCAGTTAATCCAGATTCTCTTCATCCTTTCCTGCTTCTCTGATGGTGCCTGGCCTGCTGTGTTCCTCCAGCTGCACACTGTGTTATCTCAGACTCCAGCAGCGGCAGTTCTTACTATTGTTAGTTTTACCTTGCTGCTTGTATTTCTTTTTTACCTATCGAAGAGGAGCGTAAAAACATAAGAAATAGGAGCAGAGTAGGCCTTTCAGCCTTTCGAGAATATCGTGCGATGCAACAAGATCATGGCTAATCTGCCTAAGCCTCAGATTCCTTTTCAGACCAGCTCAGCACAGCCATCAACTTCCTAATTTTTCAAAATATATCTACCTCCTTTTTAAATCTAGCTTTCACAACTGCTTAGAGTAGATAAGGAAGATGACAAGAAACAGCAGCTCATTTTCCACCTGGGTACCTTGCAGCCATCAGGACTCAACATTGAGTTTAACAATTTCAGCACATGGACAGCCTTCTCCATGTTAGTTACCTACTCCCAGGTCCTGTTTTGTATGGGTTGCTCCCAGCACAGCCAACCCATTTTCAACCATTTACACTTCTTGTTAGCACCCTGCCCAGCGCTTATCTCTTTCTCAGCTTATCATCAGCAAACTCTCTGTTTGCTTATTGTAGTGATGTAAGGAGGTCAGCCAGCTGGACCTCATAGAGAATGAGTTTCCTGATTGGGGCTGTTAATGTGATCCAATCAGGGAGGCCTGGCTGACATAAAACAATAAATGTCAGGGATATTGGGATCCCTTTATGTCTGACTCAATGAGAGGCATTACTGTTTTCAAAGGCTATGCAATTGTGATTGCAGTATGATTGGTGATGGGATGCCAGCCTCTGACGAGTTATGTTGCTTATCCCTTTTTCTTCCCTGTCTTTGGGTAATGTCTTCTTATACTCTCTCCTCCTGCCATCAGCATAAATAGCAGCCTTTATGAACTATTTTCAGTTCTGATAAAGGGTCACTGGACTCAAAACATTCATCTGTTTTTCTCTGTACAGATGCTGCTAGACCAGCTGAATTTCCCCAGCACTTTGTTTTTGTATCCTTTTTGTAAACATGGGGACCAAAACTGTACACAGTATTCCAAATGCAGCCTCACCAACAATCTGTATAGTTGTAACAAGAGTTTCCTGTTTTTAAACTTCAACCAGCTAGCAATAAAGGCCAAAATTCCATTTGCCTACTTGCTGCACCTTGTGTTTCATGAACAAGAACACCCAGATCCCTCTCTGCTACACTTTTTCTCAATTTAAATGATAGTCTGCCTTTTGATTCTTCCTATCAAGTCCTTGACCTCACGGTTTCCTACATTGAACTCGATGTGCCAAGTATCCACTCATTCAACTTATCCATATCCACTTTCAGATTCCTTATGTTATCGTCACAACATGGCCTCCCACCTGTTTTATAACATTAGCAAATTTGGATATATTGCACTCTCCTCTCCAAGTCATTAACATAGATAGTAAATAATTGAAGTTCAGGGAGCTCTGGTGCGCTGGTCAACATTCTTCCCTCAACCAATGCCACCACAAAAATATTTTGCCGGTCGCTTGTTATTTGTGACTCTTGTGCATGTTATGTGACAGCTGTGTTTGGCTGTCTGACAAAAATTGGCAACATAAACTGTAATATGAAGGAAAGTTGTTGCATCTAGCATATGATTTGGTAGAACACTTGCCAAGTCTTGGTTCCAAAGGTTCTCAGAACCCTTTTCTTTAACATTGTCTCAGCCATCCCTTCTTTGCATGTAAACCAAGTCAGCAGTTGTTAATGGCATAATAAATTACGGGCAGCGTTAGAGCTGAGCTCACTATGATCTTCGACAGAATTTCAAACGTGCCTATTTTGCCACCAGGCCATTGGTCAGGCCGATGATCTTCACTTCCTGGCATAAGGACATTAACATAACATCAACTGTAACATGCCTAGCGTCATTCCACGTGACTGCATAAATCACTGGAGTTTTCTTAGTCTATTGGCTCAGTACAATGCATAATATCCAATTTCAACTATACAATTAAAATTTAAATTAAAATACATCAAAATTTATTTGAATTCCAGCAATAATAAGTTTATCTGAAAATGATTTCAAAAGAATAAGTTTGCTAGCTAGATATCTTGTCACAGTTACCAAAATGGATTTGTCAATGTTTTCTTCATAGATTCTCCAATTGAGAGACCTGGCCGGAGACGCAGCATGCCGGGGAACGCTCCAGAGGATAACCCCACCGTGGAACCACCCACTTCTGCATCCTTCCGTATGACGGTAAAACTGCTTGAAAATTTAACAACTAGGCTGAGACTATTTGTTTGAATTTATATCATTGAAAATTTAATTTACCTGGTCCAATCTCACTTATGTGACCCTGGGCCACTTTTAACTCCCCAGTCGTATATTAAATCCACCAGGTCCAACTTCTGCCTTAATTTGTTATCAATGATGCCAGCTTGGTGGATGGGATTCAAGAGAGTACAGCCACGCAGTCTCAGAAACAACTTGCAGCAATGTGTAAAAGGGTGGAACAGCTTGCGCTAGAGCAGAAAGGGCATTAAACAGATGAAGTGTGGAACCTTAGGGCTTTAGTTTTAGTAATTATGTATTGGTTAAGAGTGCACCCCTTTCTTACTCACTAGGAAACTATTTATGAAAAAATTAACTTGTCTGCCCTCTTCTGGTCTGTTCGTCTTTCACATCTTGCGCTCTGCCAAATGAAACTACAAGACTTAAAAATATATTCCGAACCCACTGTTGTTAAACACAACATTTGAATTTATGTGTTTTGAGGGCCTGTCTTGCTTAGTGCAAGACCAGTGAAGGTCAGATGAAAGGTCCCAACAAGGATATGAAACTCTTGCACACTGTTCTCACCACGCACATTTCTTGCTGTCCTACTGTTTGGCATTTGTTCCATCTGTCTAAAATGCCTTGAGATATTTATTTGCTATGTCATATATCTGCAAATTTCTGTTGTTACCTTGATTTATGGAATAGTCAATAGATCCAGTCTGCCTTACCTGTGCAGTCTTGTATTTATCAATTTTCTAAATAATTTGGACATGAATAGTACTTTTCATCATGGATTGTAATGCAAGTTCAGAAGTATAAGAACCCAAATGTGGTGTTATATCTGTGCACGAAATGTTATGTTTTATTCTCCAAAAGTAAAAGCCCAGTATTGAAAATATCAAAATCAACTCTGCCTGATTGAAAAATAGGCCTGGATTTTCCGCTGACTGGATTGTTTGTAAGATATAACTAAACAAAACACTTTATTGAGCTATCTGAAAAGAAAATGGCTTTAATGAATTCATAATCAGTACAAACAAGTTTTCAAGAAGAAATAATACTCTGGTAAGGGCATAAAATAAGAGTATGATAATAAAATAGTTTAGAATGTCAGCCAGTCAGCACAAATACTTTGAGAATTGAATTCTGAAAAAGAACTTTCACATTACATTAGCAAAAAAAAACTTTAGTAAACTTGTGCTGGAAGTGATTCATTTTTTGCATTTGTCTCAAATCAGGTGGACATTGATCAATAAAGATTAGTTTACATAAAACCCTTATTGCTTGTGCTACATTAGAACTTATTGGCACAACCAATTCTCAAAATGCAAATCACATCAAAATTATCTATTTCAAAACTGGAAAAAAGTCAGTTATGATGGGCATTGGAAGAGTTTTAATTTTGCACATTTGACAATATCTTCTGACAAGTGTATTTAAACAGTGAATGTGCATGTCAGACATATGAAGTATCTCGATGTGTGCAAAATTGGCAAATCACTGGTGTTGAAAATCAGTAGGATCTATGGAAAACTGCAGATGCTGCAAATCTGAAGTAGAAATAATTAGCAGGTCAGGCAAGAGGGAAACTGTTTCACAAATGTTGGCAGACATGCTGAGTAGTTCCAGCATTCTCCTGTTATTTGGGATTCATATAAATTTTAATGCATCCCTTGCTAGATGTTGGTTTCTCTAAATTATGAGACAAATTTTTGTTACATGGTATCATCAAAATGATTATTGAATTCAGAATAGGCATGCTGAGTTGAGCTCAAATCTTTTAAGTGTTTATTGTCTTTTGAAGTACTCCTAAACTGAAATTTATCTTCACGATGCACATTGATGATCACACAGGCCCTTAAATCACAAGCCGGTTTAAAGTAGCCTTCATTAAAGCTGAAAAATAAATGGCCATTCTAACATCATGCTGCCATTTGTACCAAAATCAAATGCTTGCAATCTTTTTATTCATTGCACCTTATTAAATGGTTAAAATAAATATATAATCATAACAATACACCCTATTGAAATAACTTGGATTACAGCTGCAGGCATTCTCCTTTGGAAAAAGGTAACTGTATAAAGTATTTTGTTTAGTTATATTTTACAAACAACTCCTTTGTCACTAATAACACAGTGAAACAGTGCAATAATGTCAACTAGATTATCCTGTTGGATCATAACTGATCTATAATATTGATGGCAAGGAGATTTGTGTTTTGAAGGTATTTTTCCATTCTCTCTTTGGTACTTACTGTAATAAAAAGGAGACATTCATTGGTAATAAATATGTGTACTTGAGAAAATACCTAGTAAATTTACTGAATGATATTGCTTCTGACTCAACCTGTGTTGTTGAGGCATGGATGGCTTTATGGGATATTCAGAAAGGTAATTGCAGCCAATAATTAATAATGCTCTACAGTTATTGAAAAACTGATACATGAACCAATCAACCTGACTGCTGTAGCAGTGACATATAATAGAGATATATACATAGATCTTGTATGGACAAAACAGATCTATCTGGAGTTTGAAGTGACTCGGAAACACTAATTGCTTTTAGATTTAAATTTAACTCTGATATTGCAGTAAAGGACAATATCAATAAACTTACAGAATGGACATATCATTGTCAAATTTATTTTAAGGGAATTGCAAATTGTTAAATTTTGTAGGAAGAATAAGGAGCTCAAATCTGCTTGAGTGATTAATCTAAATCGGAAATTGAACAATGGAAGTTAGAGATATAGATATGCAAATACTGAAAATAGTAATGAAGGTTAATAAAGCCAAAACTAAAAGCAGGCTATGCACAGGAGGTCACTTTTAGAGAATTGAAAGAATTGAAAATCATGTTGGACTGCACTCTGAGTACTGTGCTGGTTTCTGGTTTCCATACTATTGAAAAGAATTAGAGATAATGGAGATGAGGCAAAAACTGATGTACAAAATTGATACCAGAAGGGAGAGGATATATTTATCAGGAAAGGCTGAACAGGCTGAGCTCTTTTCTTTGAGGTCTTTTCAGATTATGACCAGGTTTGATAGGGTAACGATAGAGAAGATGTTTCTACATGTGGAAAAGATCAAAACAAAGAGCTATATTTGATGTTACTCACTAACATATCCAAAATAAAATTCAGGTGAAATATCTTTACCCAAAGAGTGATAAGAATGTGTAGCTTGGTACCATGTGATTAATACAGGCAAACAGCATATGTGTATTTTAAATGGGCAGCTAGATATAAATGACAGAGACAGGGGTATATATGATGAGTGTAAGTTTAGATGAAGATGGGCGGGTGGAGGCTCTTATAGAACATAGATCAGTGGGGCTGAATGGTCTGTTTATGCATGAAGCTGCCAATTTATGCAGTTATTATTATCTGACTGACTTAAGGGGTGGGGGGGGCGGGTGTTAAATAAAGCCACCACATTACTTGGTTGGCCAGCTTGCTCTTTGTCTATTCCATAAGTGGAAACACTTTATTCTCTATCAAAATCTTTTGTAATTTGAAAGATCTGTTATGTTTGTTAGATAACCCTTCAACCTTTTCCTTTGAAGCAAAAAGACACTGAGTCTGTTTGTAACCTCTCAGTTCTGAAATCATCTGTGTAAGCTATTGCAATAAAAGTAAAATCACCATAGTCCTATTGGATCACGGGCTGCTCTCTCATTGGAGAGTAACAACTAGTGGTTTAACTTGATGGTCACAATGCCTCAGGCTAGGGGAGAGGTTAAGAAAAAGAAGTCCTTCATGGTAATCTCAGTCTTAATCTCAGTTTGAATTGTGTAAAGGAACAGAAACTGGAATATTGCCAAGTTTGAAACGAGTGTAGGAATTTTCAGCGGTTCTCACAGATTTGTGGCAAAGCAACCAATAACTTGGCTTGGAAGCAATGAAAAGTAGCCTGACAAAGGGATTGAGGCCTCCACAATCAAGCAATGGTAAATGAAAAGTTTTACCCCAGAATTTTTTTAGAACAAAAATATACTTTATTCATAAAATATTATCTATAACTACATAAAAAATGTTCGCATTCTGTTCTGTACAATATATCCAAAGAGGAAAAAGAAACAAAAACAAAGTTGCTGGAAAAGCTCAGCAGGTCTGGCAGCATCTGTGGAGGAGAAAACAGAGTTAAAGTTTCGGGTCCGGTGACCCTTCCTCAGAAAAAGAAACACTAACAATTCCAATGTATTTACCGATTTTACAGAGCTACTGTGCAGTTGCAAATAATGTGTATTTTTAACTCATACAAGAAGAAAGTATTCCTAACTGTCTGATGATTAGCTCTGGAGACATGATACTTCTGTGCCTGTCCATCTGCTCCATGACCTCCTCATTTCTGCTTTGATGCACTTATCTGTTTTAAATCCTTCATTCTCTCCTACCCTAGTCATTCTCTTTGTATCCAAGGAAAGAGTGAGTGGTTAAATGCATGACAGATGAAGTGTAATGTGGATAAATATAAGGTCGTTCATTTTGGTAGGAAAACCAGAAAGGTAGGTTATTGTCTGGATGGGGGAGGTGAAGGAAGACCCGAGTCCTTGTACACTGTTGCTGAAAGTAAGCTTGTGGTTTTTTTATTCATTCATGGGATGTGGGTGTTGCTGGCTGGCCAGCATTTATTGCCTGTCCCTAGTTCTTGAGCCACTGCACTCCACTTGTGACCCACAGTGCTATTCAGCAGGTTGAGGGGTGGTGGTGGGCGTTGCTGGGAAAAGTTCAATGATTTTGACCTTGCGACAGTAATGGAACAGCAGGGTGCAGCAGTCAAATGTTATGTTGGCCTTCATAATGAGAAGATTCAAATACAGGAGCAGGGATGTTTTGCTGCAGTTGTAAAGGGTCTTGGTAAGACCATACTTGGAGTATTGTGTGCCGTTTTGGACTCCTTATCTGAGGTAGGAGGTTGACAATTCAGGGAGTGCAACAAAGGTTTACCAGACTGATTCCTGGGATGGTGTGACTGATGTGAAGAAAGACTAGATCAGTTATACTATATTTATTGGAGTTTAGAAGAATGAGGTGGGGAAGCTCTCATAGAAGCTAATAAACTTGGAACAGGAAGAGACCGGGTACGCAGGAAAGATGTTTCTAATGACCAGAGAGTCTGAAACCAGGGGTCACAGTCTGAGGATACAGGATAGCCCATGTACGACTGAGATGAAGAGAAATTTCTTCACCCAGCTAGTAGTCCGCCTGTGGAATTCTCAGCCACAGAAAGTGTTTGAGGTCAAAACATTGAGTTCCTTCAAGAAGGAGTTAGATATCATTCTTAGAACTAAAGGAATTGAAGGGTATGGGAAGAAAGTGGGAACACAGTACTGAGTTGGATGATCAGCCATGATCATATTAAAGAGCAGAGCAGGGTCAAAGGGCTGAATGGCCACTTGCTGCTCCATTTTCTCTCTTTCTATCCTTGCTTCCTCCATCCACTGAGATTAAGCTCCCCAATAGCTTGGACCTGAACTCAAACTCTTCTGTTTCCTATCTGAGCGCAAGTGGTACATGATATCCACCTCTGCTCTCCCAATCGCATTTCCACTAAACTGTTAACCAGCACATCTTCCTCTCCTGGTCTTAATGTGAAATGAAATTGTAGATGGTTCTCTCCACACCACCCACACCACCCCACCCCGCCTCCCTGATTCCAGTTCCCTCTTTTAAAAGCTATTGTCATCATTACCTTTCTCACAGAAAAACAGCTTCTGCTTCAATTGATGAGTCCTTCTTAACAACTCTATCCACCTGGGTGGCAGCTTTCAGGGAACTGTGAACATGAACCCCAAGATCCCTCTGCTCCACCACGCTGCCAAGAATCTTTCCGTTAACCCTGTATTCTGCTTTCAAGTTTGTCCTTCCAAAATGAATCACCTCACACTTTTCAGGGTTAAACTCCATTTGCCACTTCTCAGTCCAGCTCTGCATCCTATCAATGTCCCTTTGTAACCTAGAACAGCCCTCCACACTATCCACAACTCGACCCACCTTTGTATCATCCGAGAACTTGCTAATCCACCCTTCCACTTCTACATGCAAATCATTTACAAAAATCACAAATAGAAGAGGACCCAGAACAGATCCTTGTGGTACTCCATTCGTAACTGAGCACCATGTTGAATATTTTCCATCCACTACCACCCTTTGTCTTCTAAGGGTCAGCCAATTCTGAATCCAATCTGCTACATTTCTCCCTATCCCATGCCTCCTTACTTTCTGCATGAGCCTACAATGGGGAACCTTATCAAACTCCTTACTTAAATCCATGTATACCACATCCACTGCTCTAACTTCATCCACGTGTTTGGTTACCTCTTCAAAGAATTCAATAAGGTTTGTGAGGCATGATCTACCGCTCACAAATCCATGCTGACTATCACGAATCAAACTGTGCCTATCCAAGTGATCATAAATCCTATCTCTCAGAGCCCTTTCCAATAATTTGCCCCCCACTGAAGTAAGACTAACTGGCCTGTAATTTCCTGGGTTATCCCTATTCCCTTTTTTGAACAAGGGAATGACGTTTGCCTCTCTCCAATCTTCCGGCACTATACCCGTAGACAGTGAGGATGAAAAGATCATCGCCAAAGGCACTGCGATCTCTTCCCTCGCTTCCCATAGAATCCTTGGATAAATCCCATCAGGCCTGGGGGACTTATCTATCTTCAAGTTTCTCAAAATTCCTAGCACATCTTCCTTACTAACATTGACCTCCTCTAGTCTACCAGCCTGTTTCACACTGTCCTCCTCTACAACTAGGTCCCTCTCAGTTGTGAATACTGAAGAAAAGTATTTATTAAGGACCTCATCTTCCCTGCCTGCAAGGGACAAACATATCGAGCACACGCAGTATGCATTCCTTAAAGAATCTCCACATTTCAATAGTGCTCTTCCCTGACAGCATCTGTTCTCATTTTATGTTACCCAGTTCTTGCCTAACAGAATTATAATTACCCTTCCCCCAGTTATAAACCTAAAGTTTTGCTCCTTCTCTACTCGGAATATTTACATACTGATAAAGAAAATTTTCTTGAACACGTTTAACAGATTCCTCACCATCCAAACCTTTAACAGACAATGAATGGAAAATTAAAATCCTCTACTATTACAACCCTATTATTTCTTAAATATATCTGATATCTCTCTACATGTTTGCTCCTCAATTTCCCTCTGACTATTGTGGTCTATAGTACAATCCCGTCAAGGTG